AAAAAAGTGATGTTTCTGTGAATTCCGCTATAATAAACTAACAAAAAAATACCTAATCTTTAAAGTCGAGTATAATGTAAAACTTTTTTGTTTGCAATTTTTGCTGTATTGTCACATGCCAAAATCGGGTAACCTTTTTTTTACTATTATTTATTAGTAGTAGAGTGCGAATTCCTAGATACAAACTCTTCTCAATGATTTTCTTTTATTAAATTCCAAAGTTTATTGATTGTATAATTTCCCACGTATTATATCTGTCATTCCCAGCGACTCAGTATTGTGTTGAAACCTTTTGGACACTAATGTTATAGTATTATTAGCGAGTATCTTATAAATTTCCTCGTAAAATATTGTTGGACCCTCGTAGAGTTGGCAACCAGCGAGCCACCTTGTGACTTTACACATACTAGCAGTATATGAATGTTTACCTTCCTATCAAGACACCTTCTGTTAAAATTTCTTTTACTCTCAAGATACCTTCTTTAACGGCTTTTATCTGTTTTTTGACTTTCTATCGAAGAAGCCTTCTTCAGTGCGACTTATTTAACCTTCTTTTAGGGGGTTGCGTGCGCAGACGGTCCAGTGCCATTTTCTTTTTCTTTCTGCTATAGTTTTGGTTGTGTGTGGGCGTTTTTCCGTTAACTTCCAGATTTTGATATTAACGCCCCAAACAACAGTTTATGAAGTAGCACCCTTTTATTTTGTACCTTACGTTTAGTTGGGTTGATTAGGGTACCACCCGTCCATTTTGTAATGGGATTTTAACCTCCAGCGGTAAGTTCTCTTTTGTACACCACCGGACCACGTCCATTAATACTTGTCCTGAAGAAGTTTGTTCAACACCTGCTTCCTTTTAGTGGAAAGCCATTGTGGAGAACCACCATTCACACTACTCCAGCTTTGTTTTGTAGCTGCCTTGTAGCTGTTTCGCAGCCCATTTTGTTGGAAGCCATCCCTTCCCTTTGAAAAAACCCTGATGTGAACACGTAAAACATACATTCTAATTGAGTATCTTATAGATTATATTATTAATATATTGATTATTGCTGACTGAAATTCTTAGTGTAATCTTGATTTTGTTTGGCATTTTACATCTTCAAATATAGAGCTTACTAGATTACATTAATCATGATTTTGATTTTTGAGCTGCCATAACTTATTTTAGAACAGGGGATAACTCTGAGGGTATATCACTTTGGTATTTTTTATCTTTTCTTGCTCTTGCAGATAGAAAAGTAAATTTCTAGTGACAGAGAATGTACATCGATTTTTCTTCAAGTTTGAGTCTTTTAAATGTGTAGTTCTGTCACAGACAGAGAATCGAGAGTAGATTTTTAAACAGTACTTCGCTCTCGAGCGGTACCCGTGCCTATTGATTCAGTGCTTTATTTTGACTCACCATCTTTTTCTCCGACGATTACCAATGATAAATGATATTTAAAAATGGTCCAGAATGTTGAAGATAACCCATTAAAATTTCCTCTATGGCGCACGCAGAGCGGCATACTTTATAAATTTGTTAAACCATCAATCCCTAATCTTTCTTCTCCTTCAGATAATTGGACGATGGTGGACCCAAGGACAAAAGAAAGATCATTCTTCAGCGTTGTTATGATGTTCCAACATCTGGTCATATGGGTGTCTTTAAGACTTTCTGAAAAATTCATTAAGATGAAGGCTGATGTAAATTATGTAAAACATTGTACTTATTGTGCCCAGGATAAAGTAGAGCAGAAGCCACCTGCCAGTTTAATGGGCGAACGTCTGGACATAACAGAATCATTTCGGGCTTTAAGTCTTGACTATATTGGATCTTTACCACCTTCAAGGAAAGGTTTTTGCTATATCCCTGTAATTTCAGACTACTTTAGTACATCAGCTTACTTATTCCCTTGTCGATCGGCTAAAGGTAAATTTTTAGTTGAAATTGTTGAAAGTTTCTTTCTTCTTTATGGAGCACCCGTTTATAACTTGCGTTAATGGAGTTCAGATGGAATCTAAGGAATTCCAAGCATTGTGTAAAAAGTATAGCACCCGTATATTCTATGCTAATTGCAATCCTCATTATAATCCCACTGAACGTCATAATCGAGTAATTAAGACCATGTTACTTACTTACCTCCGCCAGGAAAATCATAGGAGCTGGGATGAACATCTTGATGAGGTTGGTTGTGCTATCAGAACCGCGCCTAGTGAAACCACCAATTATAGTACATATTTTATTTTGTTTGGCAGAGAACTATAAACTATATGGAAGCGATCATCTAGTCAAGTTACCATCACAAAAAGTTGATGTGAATTTGTTAGAAATCGTCAGAAGGGTTTCTTGAAAATGTACCAACAAGTTCAGGCCAGGATAAAATCTACGAGAACGTGGAATGCTAAAAGGTACAATCTGCGTCATCGTTCCATTTCTTTTAATTGCGGACATAAGGTCTGGCGTAAAAATAAAGTCCTTTCTGATTCTTCTAATAACTTCAGCTCCAAGTTACCACCAACATCAACATACCTTGGACCATTTATAAGACGGAAGTGTGACTCTTGGTCGTATGAACTTCAAGACCACACGCCACATGACAGCTGTTTTGCATTGATTGATCCTTGGATCTCATTTATAGAGATTTATTAATTCATTAATTAATTTAAAAAAAAAGGAAAGAGGGATCACGCCACCATTTCCTCCTATTTATAAACAAAGGTGTGGCAGCATCTCTAAAAAAAGTGGTGTTAGGTATTCAAAGGTTTCCGTAAAAATCACCCTGTATCTCCGAAATATCTGATCCGATTACAACTAACTTGGGTTAGTTGAAAAGAGCTATTCTGGGGCTACAAACATCATACTATGTGAAGTTTTGCTAGTTTCACATGTGACCGCTAGAGGGCTTTCTTCGACATACCAACAAAAATCTAATTACATCGGTATGAGTTTTTTTTATGAAAAAGTAGCTAAATGATGTCTAAACAAGCTCACGGAAATCGCATCTCAATATCTTGTTTCTAACCTAAAATTTAGTCCAAAGAAAAGTTTATACGGAAATCCCTTAAGTTTTTATTTTTTAAAGTAGGGTAAGTAAGTAATGATGATAACAAAAGGCATATTTATAGAATCAAGCCATGAAATACAATAAAACAAATACATAATCAAAATATAATAATCCTCAAATTGTCAATAATTTTCGAGAGTTTTGTGTTACTTTAAGCAATTTTTGTGCTTACCAAATGCGTTTTACGAAAGATGATATATTTTATAGGTATAGGTAATCCTCAAATTGTCACTAGTTGTCGATAGTTTCGCGTTACTTTGAGCAATGCTTGTCCTTACCAAATGCGTTTTATGAACGATGAAGCTGTTGATATGTTGCAGCTTATTTTGAATGTCGTCACAATACCTCAGTAGCGACTCGATATCCAAATCGACGTCTTTGCGTTGAGAGAGTTTTTCCCCGATTAGTGGCGAACGGCAAAGAATTAGAACAACGCAAAAATATTAACCGCGTGCATATTAAAAGAAATCCTCAAGTCTAGCACAGGGGCATTATCCCTTGAGTTGGGCATATTACGAACACCGGTTTAAATTATTTTGAAGGACCGAAGGTAAGTTCTAATGGCCATCAAAATATAGAGATTATTTATTAAATATGACTTTAATTACTCTTAGAATGCACCCATGTCATATCGTGTTGCAACAGGCATTGAAAGAGGAAGACTTTAATCGGAGGTTGGATATTGCCATTGGATGCTGTTAGGCATGATACGCGAAAATAGAGAAAATTTTATTTCAAAGTCTTGGACCGATTGAAGCCCACCTTTAATAGTGACGGGAGAGTCAAACTGCATTATTGTATGCAGGACAATCCGCATTGGGTGCGGGAAGTTCATCACCAAGGACGTTGGAGTTTTAATGTGTGTGCTGTGACATACTGGGAGGCAGAATTATTGGGCCATATTTTTTGAGCAGTCCCTAAATGGCAGTGCCTCTTGACTTTTTGGACAATCAATTACCGTTATTGTTGAAGATGTGCCACTGGAAACACGGAAAAACTTGTTCTTGCAGTTAAATGGCTGTCCAGCATATTTGGCTATTATTGTGCGTGTTAGTCAGCATTTCGAGCATTTATGAGGGCATTAGTAGCCTTCTTTTTAAATCGATCCTTTTTAGTCACAACTTAATAATAAGACTAGCCCAGTTGCTGGCATGCTAACGCTATGCAAAATATTGTACGTTGATGTCTTTATTTAAAACCTCACGTAGCGCAGTTGTTGGTATGCTAATGCAATGCTAGCGATATACTTTATCCCTATGTCTAATCATTTTTTATCCTTTGGCATCTTTGATCTGTTATCTGCTATCCGCTATCTAGTATCTGGTATTTGGTATCTGGTATCTGGTATCTGGTATCTGATATCTGGTGTCTGGTGTCTGGTGTCTGGTGTCTGGTGTCTGGTGTCTGGTGTTTGGTGTCTGGTGTCTGGTGTCTGGTGTCTGGTGTCTGATGTCTGATGTCTGGCACCTGGTATCTGGCATCTGGTATCTGTTATCTATTATCTGTTATCTGGTATCTGGTATCTGTTATCTGTTATCTGTTATCTGTTATCTGTTATCTGTTAACTGTTATCTGTTAACTGTTATCTGTTATCAGTTATCACTTATCAGTTATCAGATATCAGTTATCAGTTACCTGAAACCTGTTATCTGTTGGCACTTATCAGTTATCTGTTATCGGTTATCTGTTATCAGTTATCAGTTATACGTTGTCAGTTGTCAGGTGTCAGGTGTCGGTTATCAGTTATCAGTTATCTGTTATCAGTTATCTGTTATCTGTTATCTGTTATCTGTTATCTGTTATCTGTTATCTGTTATCTGTTATCTGTTATCAGTTATCTGTTATCAGTTGTCAGTTGTTAGGTGCAAGTTGTCAGGTGTCAGTTAACTGTTACCTGTTACCTGTTGCCTGTTGTCTGTTAGCTGTTGTCTGTTGTTCGTTGTCCGTTAGCTGTTAGCTGTTAGCTGTTAGCTGTTAGCTGTTAGCTGTTAGCTGTTTGCTGTTTGCTGTTAGCTGTTAGCTGTTAGCTGTTAGCTGTTAGCTGTTAGCTGTTAGCTGTTAGCTGTTAGCTGTTAGCTGTTAGCTGTTACCTGTTACCTGTTACCTGTTACCTGTTACCTGTTACCTGTTACCTGTTACCTGTTACCTGTTACCTGTTACCTGTTACATGTTACCTGTTACCTGTTACCTGTTACCTGTTACCTGTTACCTGTACCTGTTACCTGTACCTGTTACCTGTTGTCTGTTGTCTGTTGTCTGTTGTCTGTTTTCTGTTTTCTGTTTTCTGTTTTCTGTATTCTGTTTTCTGTTTTCTGTTTTGTTTTCAGTTTTCTGTTGTCTGTTTTCTGTTTTCTGTTTTCTGTTTTCCGTTTTCTGTTTTCTGTTTTTTGTTTTCTGTTTTCTGTTTTCTGTTTCTGTGTTCAGTTATCTGTTATCTGTTATCTGTTATCTGTTATCTGTTATCTGTTACCTGTTATCTGTCACCTGTTATCCGTTATCCGTTATCTGTCATGTGTCAGCTGTCATCTGTCATAAATATTATTGACTTGTTGTAGGTATTTTACTGTTGTCAAAATTTCAAATGCCTAGGATATATTGATGATTTTGATAATGTCCTGTGTTATAGACCCTGCTGTTTCAAAATATAAGTCAACACTTACTTGTCGAGACAGCAACGATATGTTAATAACTCACATGGTTTTATAAAATCTTCCATAAAGCATTAAAAATACCCTGTATAAAATAGTATGACAGACTCAGATTTGCTCTCTATAAAAGTATATAACAAACTCAGATTTATGAGAGGATCCGGCAACGTCACATAAGTCTACCAACCATGGCTCTTGATACTGACATATGTCAACCGTGTTCGCCTAAGGATAGCACGGGACTGTTCTTTCTTCAGTGTAAATGTTTTATGATTTGACAGGAATGAAATTATTTTTACCCTATTTAAATCTGCTGACGATTAGTACCCTCTCAAACTTCTTCAAAGATGAAATACATTATCACGATAGATATACACTGAGGCACTTCGTCTGAACCGAAAAACTGTAAACACTCGGCACCCGGTATCACTAGACTGTTTCGACTATATTAAGCGGCGATCGATTGTTTCGATTGGTAGTAAAATTGTTAGGGGTTCGGAAATTGTATGACATCGACGCGGTTTTTTCCGGTTTTTTAGGAGGTTCACGGTACGTTCGGAGGGAAAGAGGTACCGTTTCGGAAAGTAGAAACACGGCGCTTTACGGGCGGGCGAGAGCCGTCGCGGTAGAGGAACGGATCGGATCGAAAACGGCCGGTAAAGTCGAAAAATCGACCGTTTTTCGGACGGTACGCGGCGTTATTTCACACTGGTTTCGCCGTCTATCGAAATATCGACTCGAGATCAGTCTCGTTCGATAGCTAAACGAGAAATACGTGCCAGTAAGCTGAATCTGTTCGGTTCCGCGTCTCGGTTTTTTTTCTAGAAATGTTATAAAAAATGCGACAAAAATGACGAATCGCCCGGAAAACTACGATATCTCCCTTATGCCGAAGAGAAAAGGAATTTCGCGCGCCGCGTTTCGTACATCTCGGCGAGCGTTACAAATTACGCGGAGAGACGTTTTTTCGTGTACGGTACCCGTTTCGAATAAACGAATCTCGAACGTCGTCAAGAATCACTTTTTGCGTATAAAACGCGCTGCTTCGCCGTCGATCACACATCTCCTCCGAAGATAAAGGAGCTACGAACCTGACGATTTTTGCGTGAGAAAGACCGGACATCGGACACTAAGATAGCGTCTTTTTTTTCCTTTATCC